GGATCGACGCAGCTAGATATTGAAATCTACCCTGAGCTGGACGACGAAGACCAATTGAAGATCAAGACAGAATACCGCTTGCGCACGGGTTCCGGCCAGCTCGGCAAAGAGGAGCATATGACGCCGCGATTTGGATGTGCTCACCGGTCCGTTGACTTATGGCTTTCGAGTGTCTGCCAGACGACTCTCTGTCGCCTTTATGACAACCAGTGCGCGTCCTGCAAGCGAATATCCGTATGTAATACATGCAATGCCTCACTCAGGTGTCCTCGCAAACAGCCATGTCGGGTGGACGATGAAACGGGACAAGCAACATACCATTTCTATACTGAAAGGTGCCTGGGAGGATCGGGGCCTGTACCAGATCAGACATGGGCAGCGCAGCGAATCCATCCCGCGGAGAATCTGATAGACGTCGCAAACTGCAGTGAGCTATGCCCGTGGACGATCCGAGAACATCCACCTCTGGAAGAAGCCCCGTCTTTGGAGATGAATATCCTCAATCCCGCTATACAGGATCAGTCGATGAATCAGCTGTATACCTCGATCAGTATGATTTAGGGTTGGTTGCTGTAGTCACGAATCTCATTGTGTGTGATGCGTTCTGTATGGACCTGGTTTCGGCGTTATGCAAGGACTCCTGGGGTTTGAATAGCTTGGTTAGTAAGGGTGTATAATGGCTCGATTATTGATTCAGGGTGGTGTTGGGCTTGTTTGTTATAGAGGGAAAGGGTTCGGGATATAATTGGTATAGTATAGTTAAGCTAGAGAGGGTGTCAACGGAAAGACCCATACAATGCACATGATATAACGCTCTGTATGCATTTTCGAAAAAATGGATAGTCCAGATATTCAGCTAACACGGGTTGTTCCGTCTACCGAGTAAAGTACTGGAGTAATGTCCTTGTAGCAATCAAGCCATGGATGGTAGAACTCACCTGATCGCGCCTCACCTGACCGCCCGGGGGTTTCTCCGACCCGACGCGGAAACGGAAAAGGCGGCGCGATCCAGAGGAACAAGAAAGATAGAGAGTCATTCCCAAAATTTAGAAGCATCCTCGTCGTCTCGCTATATATACTTCCCGGGAATAGCAGAGCGCAGTGGATTGATGAGCATTGTCTGCGTCTTGGGGCGATGAGCTACCCACCACCCCATAACGGCCCATATCCTTCGCAGTATATGCAGCAACCCCCCAATCTGCCGCATCACCAGCAGACCATCCACCCGCAGCAGCTACTGTACAACAACAATGTCAACGCGAGCGCTTCGCCATATCAATATGGGAAGCCGGTGGTCTATCCCCAGGTCATGATCCCGGCGTATCCTGCTTACGCGCAGACTTATAACCCGCAGCCGCCGCAACAACAGCAACCTCCTCCTCCACCACCTCAACAGCCTCCACCCCAGCAGCAGCCGCAACAGCAATATGTGAATCCGTCGGATTTGTTCAACCCACCACCACTTGCTTCTACCTCGCCTCCTCAGTTCACCAATAGTCCGTCTCAATATGCCGCACAACCAGCGGTGTCTGTTGCAGGCAACAGCCGCTCCCCAGTCCTCCCTACTTCTACCCCCGCCCAATCCACGTACTATGCCGCCCCAGATCTAAACCAAGCGAATCAAACCCCCAACAATTACCCTCAACCTACATCCACTACGCCCTCAGTTCAAGTGCCGACTCCCGCTGCTGCTGCCCCTGCGGTCGCGGCCGCGGCTGCGTCTCCTGCCCCTGCTCCTGCTGCTAAACCGGTTGCTGCCAAACCCGTCCCCGTTAAGCCAGCCGCGGCCAAACCTGTCGCCCAAACTCCCCCGGCACCATCCCCTAAGCCTGTACAGGTGTTAATCCCAGCTCCTACCCCAGAAGTGCAGCAGAAAATCCAGCGTCCTCCCCCCAAAAAGCAAGCGCAGCGACAAACTGGCCAAAAACCTACACAGAAATCAGCAGGCGCGCCGATCGACTATCAAGTGCTGCTGTTGGCCATGGCTGATGAGTATCTGAATGCTGCCCACAGTCATGGCACGTTGGTGGCCTTGTTAAGACGGGAGATGGAGATGGACGAGTATTACAAATTAGTTGCTACAGGTCTTGGTTGCTTGGAAGCTGTTCTCAAGGTACGCTGGGACTCTTGATCCTTGACGCGAACGCATGTTGCGGTGATGCTGATTAATGTGGCGCAGAACTGGCGGCTTCAGCCTCGGGTTGAAGCTCTAGTCCGATTACGTTATGCCCGTATATTGTTCGAGGAAACGGACAACGACCTTGAAGCGGAGACAGCATTAAGCAAAGGTGTACGTTTCATTCCTGCCCTACATCTTGTTGCTTTTGCTAACTTTGTTGTATAGATTGACCTTTGCGAAAGGGTGAGTTCTTTCATCTTTTCCATTCGTGGAGCTATTGCGATAATGAGGTACTAATAAATGCAGAATCGGATGCTTGATCTGAAGTATAGCATGCAGCATCTGTTGGCGCGAATGCTGTACAAGACGAATCCAAAAGCCTCGCTGAAAGCTGTTGATGGGATGATTCAAGATGTCGAAGCGTATGTACCGTTGACGCCATTATATCAAATTTATACTGAACTCATTAGGTATCGCCACTCCGCCTGGGAATACGCTTTTCGTTTTCTTCGAGTGTCTCTTTCACTTTCCTCATCGGCCCATCAAGATTCAGTGTCGGCACTGCAACACCTTCACAAGATTTCCACCATGGCCAGCCGCAATGGCGATAGGGCTGTCTCAGCCATGTCTGCGATAATTGAAGCTCTAGCGCACCTTCAGCAAGGATCCGGGTTTGACTCGGTCGAGCAAGCCCAGCGTGCAGTAGCAGTAGCGCGGAGTCACCAACTCAACGACGAGCTCCGACATATCCCACAGCTAACGACTTTAGTCCAAATTGTCGATATTTGCTGCAGTCTACTTGAATACGACATCAATCAATCATCGCAAAAGCTGAAGATGCTGCAAGATTTGATGGACGAACGCTTAAACGACTCGAATTGGCGCAGCGATGGATCATTCTCAATCCCATTGAATGGCAAGTCGGCCGGACCGTCTTCCATTGACACCGGGGACATCCTCCAGGTCCAGAGTGGCACGCTGCTGTTAAGCTTTAATTGGCTACCCCAGCACGATCTCTACGCGCTTTGCTACTTCCTCAGTTCGATCACACTGAGTTGCAAAAACTCGTATGATGGACGTAAGGCAGAGAAGTTCTTGCAGGAGGGCACTCGTATGTTAAAGGGTTAGTACACCTGATTTGGCGAAGGTCATCTCAATTCTTCTCAAATGTGTTATTGACGGTATTGTCACAGGAAGTTTCAAGGCGCCACAAGAGATCACAGAATCGGTGGTTAATGCGAACAGACGCGTTCAGTGGCGCAGGATTCTCTACTGCAACCTGCTCGTTCAGCAGGTTTTCCTTGCTTGCGGTCGCACAGATTGGGAGCTAGCCAGCAAAACACTGAAGGAACTTCATGAAGAAGGTCAGGAGCTTGGCGACCAGCTCCCAGATACCGTTGAGTGCCTAATGGAGTATGCTACTGGTGCTATTGCGCAAGCAACCGGCGACCTCAACGCAGCTCTGAACGCCTTTCAATCCCCTCTTCTCTCATTATCCACGAACTTCAGCAAGACGGCGCGCAATGAGCCACGCCGCGACATCGCTATTCTCGCCGCTCTCAACACCGTCCTCATCCTCCGCGATCCCACCCATCCCTCTCACTCCCACCTACCCGCCGTCTTATCTACTGTGGAATCCTTCTGCACTGGCAGTCCCAACAAGTACATCCAAGCAGCATACTACCTGGTCTGCGCCACCGTCCAGACTGAGTCCACGATCCAAACGAAGCAATACCTACAACAAGCCCTCCAATCCGCCACGGCAATCAGCAACAGCCAAATCACCTGCATGACCCTAACCTTCATGAGCTGGAAATACTTCCGTGGCGTCGTCGGCGAACAAGCCGAGAAAAGTGCCCGAGCGGGCCGCGCCATGGCTAAGAAAGCCAACGACCGGCTCTGGGTCAGCGTCACCGACGAAATGCTAGCCGAAACGCTAGAACGTCAAGGAAAGAACGAGGAGGCCAAAGGCGTGCGGGAAGAAGGTCATCGCGTAATGATGGGATTGCCGTCTGCTTTGAAGAGGCCTGTATGATGGATGCAGGCTTTACCTCGGTCCTTTTCTTTCTTCTTCCTCCTTTCTACCACTTGTTGTTGGTAGTGGCGGTTGCTTGACTTGCTATTTAGCCCACTTTTTTTGTAATTCTCTACCATACCTCTTTTCCACATTCCCATCCTCCTTATTACCTCTGCCCCCCTTTCATATCCTTTTTCTTTTCTTGCTTTCTATATCTCTGTAGTGTGGTGTTTACGGCTGAAGTTCAGTTCATGATACCATGTTAGGGCTGTTCTATCCATGTGTCTTATCTGCTGCTCTATCTGTCTGGGGCTGTGGGGGGGTTGGTTGTTATTAGGGTGTTTGGCGTCATGTGATGACATTGATAAAAGGGAGTGCACGCGTGTGAGTTGTTCCATTTGTGTGTGGAAATAAATAGTTGATACAATAAGATCCCGGTTTCAGGTGACAATTAGATATTTGGTATTTGATCTATAAGATCAGACATCAAGGTACATTCATTGATGATGGCTGACTCGACATACACAGGATGATCGATCCAGTCTGTCTGACTGGCCATATATGAGGTGGATGGAATAGATAGTACACCTTTCATGTTCGATTCAACGGACATAATAAGTAGGTTGTTGTGTTGTTATACACGCACACGTGACAGAGCCGGTAGTCAAACGGCGATGAGTCAACAGTTAATCAATCAAGAGGTAGGTAGGTTAGATAGGTAGGTAGGTGAGATCAAAAACGGTAGAAAGTTTGTAACAGCATCAAACAACGGCTTCAAAAAACAACAAAGAAAGAAAAGACCCCGCGGTTCGCCTTAAGACCCCGTAACCTTTCCATACGCCTGCGACCCTATACAACACCAAGTGGCAGCAAAAATAAAATGATGATGAACGAGATTTCCCCACTGTTGGATTATAACAAAGTCGGAAAGGAGAGAAGTAAGATAGAGAAAGAGATGAAATCAGACAGGTGGTGGGGTAGAGTAGGTAGATGGTGAAAGTAGACAAGAAACTGGCTTTTGTTCATGGGCGTTTTGTCTGAATTTCGATCTTTTCTTTGGACCTGTTCTTCTTCTCCTTTTTGAATGATAGAAGGGGTATTTATTGGTGTGATGTTTAGCCCAAACCACCCCAGACACCACGGATGCGTCGAGCAAGTTGAATATCTTTCTGCATGATGGTCACGCGCTTGGCGTGAATCGCGCAGAGGTTGGTGTCCTCGAAGAGATGTACAAGGAAAGCTTCGGCTGCTTCCTGGAGCGCTTGGATCGCATGCGACTGCCACCGCAGCTCGGCGCCAACTTCTGAAGGGAGGAGGTCAAGCGCGACCTCGCGGACCAGCCGAGCGAAAGGAAGCTTTTGGATAAGCAGATCGTACGAGCGCTGGTACTTGCGGATCTCCTTGAGAGCCACGGTTCCGGGCTTGTAGCGGCGTACACGTCCTTGTGGTGTGGGGTCACCAGCTGCGAGGATGTCAATTTCTCATTCTTCAAGAGAGAGCGGAGCAGAGAGTGAGATCTGAATTGAAGTTTGTGGGAGAGGGTACGCACGCTGAACATCGGACTCTCTGGGTGCCTTTCCAGCAGGCCTTTTCCCTCCCCTAGTCGCTCCAGTGGATTTGCGCACTTTCTTGGCCGCCGGCGATGCCGTTGTAGCTGCTGTTGAGGAGCTTGCGGCAGCACGGTCGCCAGCTGTTGATTGTCGCGGCGCCGCCGTAACGCTCTTGCGACCGCGACCGCGACCACCTGTCTTGGGGGGCATGTTGACTTCCTTAGCGCTTGACGAGCAATTGACCGGTTCGGTGTTCAAGACGAGAGGGGCGAAAGAGGGGTAGCTTTCTGGAACTCCTTCGCACCGGGCGAGTCAATGACACTTGAAGTTCGGTGGTGTAGAGCGATGCGCGAGATCGTCCTCCGGCGGCCTGAGGCTTTGTATAATGAACTCTAGGTGCGATTGAGTGCCACGCTTGAGAAATAAGCTACAAGGTGATAGCCGCGGAGGAGGGTTTGTCAGGGATGAATTTGCATGCGAGAGGGACCCATCCGGGAGGCCGAACGGACTATGAAGTGATGGAATCCCCAGCCATCCGAAATCCTGTCCGAACGCGTGCGAGGCGCGTCTTGGAGGCGTCGAAGCGCGCGGGAGCGACACGTGACATATGCGCCGGGGGGGGTGACAGGTGACACCTGAGGCCAAAAGGCCAGCTGGAGCTCGGCGATTACGGCGGAAGTAAACTGGCAGTTATTTAGTTGGTGATTCGACATCATCCCCTTATCGATCATACTTGCCCGTCTTCTCGAGTTCTTAACCGCCAAAAGACAAATATCTACATCCTCGCTATTTCGCTTATCGCATCGTATCCGCCAACCGAATATCCTCCCCTCGCTAAGTCTAATCGCAACGTTCGCAACTCTTATCTATCCATCCTCGATCATGGCCGCCATCTGGGGTAACGGCGGGCAGGCTGGCCAGTTCCCGCTGGAGCAATGGTTCTATGAAATGCCCCCTGTGACTCGATGGTGGACAGCAGCCACCGTTGCCACTTCAGTCTTGGTTCAATGTCACGTCCTCACCCCATTTCAGCTGTTTTATAGCTTCCGCGCAGTCTATGTCAAGTCTCAGGTGCGTCGCAGCTAGTCCTTCCGTCCACATGTATGAAGTAGACGAACAATGCGGCTAACCATCGCATAGTATTGGCGTCTATTAACGACCTTCCTATACTTCGGACCACTCAATCTCGACTTACTATTCCATGTGTTCTTCTTGCAGCGATACTCGCGCCTCTTGGAGGAATCGTCAGGGCGATCGCCGGCCCACTTCTCGTGGCTTCTGTTCTACGCCATGGCCTCTCTCCTCGTTCTCTCGCCATTTCTCTCGCTTCCCTTCTTGGGCACGGCCCTTTCTTCCAGTCTGGTCTACATCTGGAGTCGTCGCAACCCGGAAACTCGCCTCAGCTTCCTGGGAATGCTGGTCTTCACCGCCCCATACCTCCCCTGGGTCCTGATGGCATTCAGCCTGGTCGTCCACGGCATCGTGCCCAAGGACGAAATCTGCGGCGTTGTCGTCGGCCACGTCTGGTACTTCTTCAATGACGTCTACCCTTCGCTTCACGGTGGCCATCGTCCTTTCGACCCCCCTATGTGGTGGGTGCGTCTGTTTGATTCCGGTCCTGCAGAACGAGGCACCGACGCGGCCAACGTCAACGGGGACTTCGCCGCTGCTGCAGCACCCGAAGTTCGGTGAGCTATTTGTGCACCCGTTAGGCGTTGTTGCATGGCGATCTAAGATAAGAATCGTCCGCGCAATCGCCCTGGAAACGTCAGCATATACGCATGTACTGCCGACAGCTCGCTCCGACATGCGCAGAGCATGAGAACATAATACTGTCGGGATATAAGCAAGGGCCACGGCGGCAAATCTGGCGAACTTCTTATCGTGTGGCTTGTCTTGTCTTGTCCAGGGAGAGTCATTTGATCTACCCCCACGCTGCCGTGGCTGGTTGCGCTCTGGCCTCCTACCAGAAATGTCGCAAAGGCCATCAGAATCCCGAGTATCGACATCCGAGAGACAGAACAACAAACATATTCCGCCAACCAGTGAAGGAGTTGGAATCACTTGGTGGGGAAGATGTGGAAGAAAGGAAGAAAGAAGTATCACGAAGGTCATAGCGGGCGCTCAGTCTGCGAGATTTAGTCATAGGCGTCTCCGTAAGAGAAACAGACTAACTATCATGGCGATCAATCAGCTAGTAGTTCAATGAATATACCCAAACCATGTTTTTAAGCCTGATAACAATTTACAGGAGGGGCAAGGGAGGTGGTTCGTGTGAACGCATGGATGCATGAGGCTGCCTCCTCCTATATGCAGTAGGAATACCGTAGTACCTAGCATTCCAATTACCTGAAAGGGAGGGAGGAAGCGAGGGGGAAGAGCGGCCCACGTGTCGATCCAGGGTGTGCAAGCAAGCTCGAAGGTTGGGGTAAATTCTCCGCAATAATGTCTATCCTAATGTCGCTTTCTTTACTTTCTTAATCGCTGCTGCCTCTTCCCACTTTTAATCATTGCCATACAGACTTGTTGTTTGCTAGGATCTTGGACCCTGGCCATTCCATCGGCTACTGTATCGTATGGTTTGATCTATTAGGGTTGATCTGGATTTATCCATCTCTATCTACCCGCGTTATGTAGCACAGCTGGTATAGTTACCGTGGCTTCAGGACTACTACTTCGCCCGGGCGTTGATCAATACGATGGAGAATGACGCTTTGAGTCGATCAAAAACAAGACAGTCTCAATTCCCTCATTATGAAGACTCGCTATCTACTATACGGAGTACAGTGCGGGATTAAAACATGCTCTGACCTCATCCCACTTACAGATCATCGGGTGAGAGTGGGGGGTGATTGACATGAACAAATCAACCACGGGGCAGGGGTCCTTGATGATGCATATCCCCTACACAGTAGGCTGGGTTATATACTTGTGTGTTTATTGGATGAAAGGTCCGAAACGGTTTCTGATTAGCAAGATAAGTAGGTAGGTAGGTCATTCACTAAATTTGGAGGAGGTGGTGGTGGACGTTAGTAGTAGATGAGGGCTGGGCGAGGCCTCGTCTGCCTGCGTGTAAGCAGATTGGTGAGATGAAATGGGTGATTTCTTTTGATAGATTCATGATTTGTTCTTTGTCTTCGTGAAACGTTAGTACTATTACTTAGGTATTCTAGTCTAAAAACGAATCAGTCAACATTTTGATTGGATTATGAGAGAGAAGGGGCAGATAGGAAGCCGAGTACGAGTACGCGGAAGCCCAAACAGGGGGACAAACAGGGAACCACCGGGGCTCGTTTCTGGTCGGTTGAAACACACCACAAGAAACAGATAAATGTAGCACATAATTAACTCCTGCTGCCATCGACAAACCAGGATCTGGCACAAAGGAACATGCGACTCGACAACCGCGGGTCGTTGCCATGCATTCCATTCCCTACCTAGTTATTTTCTCCTCTTCTAGTGGACCTAAACATGGAAAGCCAGCCACTCAGTCAAGATCGGTTCCTTTCTTGCGCCAATCTGGGTATGTTGAAAGGTCTGATTGGATGTGTCTCCTGGTAGCATGGATTAAGGCCCCCCTCTCTCCATGTGTGGATGTGGGTCCGTGGGTTATTTTCTCTAACCGTCGAATTTTCCTCTTCTTTTTTTTTTTTTTTCTTTTTTCTTTTTTCTTTTTTTCCCTCTTTATCTTTGGTTTGGAAAAGACTTGGCATTTCTCTGGGGAAGAAATCCAGATTGGTGGGTGTGCTTTGCTGGTCGGATAAAGTGTGAAACGGCCCCCAGTTTGGACGGATAGTGGCAAAGCATGGCTGCATGAGACCTATCTTAGTAGCAGACCACTTTTGTACTATCTTGGAGTTGGAGGGTTCTGTCTGTGTCTGGCCCTTTCTTTTCTCCCCGGGCCCTGTTTGAACCATTTGCCCTTTCACATGGGAAGGTTACGACGACCCCACGCCAAAAATACTTGTGCAGTATCCACCACTAACTCACTCCATAGCCCGCCTAATCTGTCAAATCTGATATCAGTGGAGCTCGGATGAATTTGCCAGCGAAGTGCCCACCAAGAAAAAATCAGTGAGGATACACGGTGGTGCCTGTGGTGGTCGGCGGGTTAACCACCGACCGCCGATTCTCCGTCTCTCAGCAAACTCACTCGTACTCGTAAATCCGGCTCCAAGAGAACTTGGAAATGGAAATCCCGACCAGGGTCCATGGGGTGCAATCAATGGCTGTAACAAGCTCGGCGGGTAAAACGTTCTCCATCCATCCCAGTTGTTTCCAAACTATGCCTGTGTCCCAGCCACGAACCTCCGACACCAGATTGTGGCTGGACAGACACCCTAGGCAACTGAGTTAATCCATTAATTCAGGTGGCGAGAGGTCTCTCTTGTCCGTCTTACTCTCTTCTAAATATGGACCCTCGAATGAATAAACAAGCCTTTCTGGATGGATAAAGCGCTTCCCACTTCTGCCTGATCACCTCGTTTCGATGCGAAGGAAGGATGGATGGATGGATGGGCGGTGCTGGGCCCCGCTGTGATTACTCGCTCATTGCCGGGCACATCAGATATCATGTTATACATCGGCAAATGCCAGTCAATCACAATCAATCGTGTTGCTCTGTTAGACGCCGAAGTTTGGGCTGGGCTGTGTGTTCCACCGAGCCTTATCTGCAATCTACTGTGTGCTGTGTATTGGACCTGCCTTTATTGGTAAATGCCTCAGACACCGAGCAGTTACTGGCTAACAGTGTAATAGGGCAAATTGACAAGAGGACAACTCGACTACTGTAAGTAGGTACGGACAGATCACGTACTGCTAGCCACTTAATCCTGCGTAAGTGCACATGGTTCATCTACAAATCACTACTTGTACTTTGTAGATTACAGCTTGCATCATGTCCAATCACCATTGCAATTGACGGCTGCCGCCGGCGTCACCACTAAACACACAGTGCATGGACTACATCTGGGAAGCAGCCAAACACTGGTGATAGGCTTACCTATGGAACCATTGCCAACGAACTGATCTGGCCCTGTCACTTCAATGCAGTCGATGCTGCAGCTGCCGTGTCACACAAGGACAATTGTTTTTCTCGAGATGCAACCTGGAACTTTATGCACGGGCGGCTTCGACAGCAGAGCTCCGCGGTGTTAACAAAAGGTAGACATTTGAAAGTACGAAAGCAGACAGAAGTCAAGGAAAACCACACAGTAGTACAGAGTAGTTGAAACGGCAGTGGTTGTTGAGTCGTTGACACTTTGACTGCAGTACTGGCAACTACGGGTCAAGGGAGATATGGAGCATGGCCCAAGAATTTACGACGGAACTAGTACCTGTCTAGTTTGATGAATCCATGCGATCCAAACCGACTATCACACTTTCCTGTAGTCCCTAGAATTGAACTTCTGGACGTAGCGTGCAGCGCTATGGATTTAGTCCAGCTAGTTAGTCGCGAACAGAGTGTTTGTTTGGTCGTTCAACTTGCCCTTGTTCCCCAACGTTTCTCAACAATCTCTTCCACAATACTTCCATACTATTATTATTGTTGCTTTTTTTTCTCGGATAATTTGCTTTTCCTTCTGCGTAGTCCGCATTGGCACGGTAATAGTTGCGACCGTTATTAGCTAGCTAGTTAGCTGGATGTGCAAAAACCATAAATTAGGCCAACTCCGTCATCGTGGTGGAAGGCCGCGTCTTCTACCCTAAGTAATTGGCTCGCTGGTGCGAAAAGAGCGCATCACCGACTGAGCGATACCGAGGAACTGAATTAGGCAACAAAGATTCTCACGATGCGGCAATGATGAGGGGACTGGGGAGGGAGGATCGAGTGGTGGCGTCTTCGATTCATGTTCCGAACCAACTAAAACGAATTTAACTTACTCTTTTCTGCCTGTGTACCAGATGCCACAGATCCATGGGAAAGAATGCCAGAAGCATATTGGGGGTGAAACCACCGAGGCCTGCGTAATCGCCCCTCAATGGTTTGGCGGAGGAGCCACTTTCTTACTAGCGACTAGTGACTTTGTGGTTAGTCTTCTTCTTATCTGTGAGGATATCCGTCTTTTTACTTTTTGATTATTGCTTTATTTGCTCTCCTCAATTACCTTTTTTTTTTTTCTGCTTTCCCCCTCGCTTTCCTCGCCTAATTGGATTAGCGTGGATGGCTGTCGGCCAGTCATCGTCGGTTACATAAGCGGGTTTACCTTTCACCGTGGCCCCGTGGGATTGCCAAAGATGGCCCCACAGTCCGATTGCAGTAATTAGTGGCCCGTCTTTAACGAGGCTACTAACCTAGAATGAACTGGAGAGCTATTGATTTGGGGGAGAGAGTTACCGTTTAACCGCCGGCCGAGTAGTGGCTCAGCCATCATCATCAGGTTGGGACTCCCTTTCCAAATGATCTCTCTTTATCCTTCCGGAAGAGTAGTAAGTTTATCAGCTGGAAGGAATGAACCACGAGGTCCTAGGCGTCATCGATGAACATGGCTCAGAGGGAAGATAATGGCAGTGCGAGATGATGATGATGAGATCACCAGGTGCTGATTCCGGGGTGAAAATAGAAACCACGTACTACTACTAGCTGGTAGCTGGATATACTTTGATGGCGGTGCAGTGTGTCATTGGCACTGCAGTGAGGAGGACCTATTTCTCTCTCTCCTCATGTACAGTATTGTTCTGGATTTAACGAGGTCTTCTATAGCAATTTAATTTGATTACTATTTATTATTCAAATTAATTATAATATTAAATACGTAGTAGTAAACTCCTCAACAAGTTACGAGTCTCCCCGACATGGCTAGTCCCAGTCGGCAAATGGGACTAACCAAACCAGGCATCGAGACGACTGAAAGAGTCTTAGTGGCGGAGGCTTAGCAACTGGCGCCAACCTAAAGCATCCACACCAGCATCTCCACTTTTATTTGGCTTGGTGTCTCCCCACTGTTTTGCTCACTCTGTCTCTCTGTTTGTGTCTGTCTCTCGGTCTCGCTTTCTTTCCCCCAGAGAGGAGGCGCCTTTCCTTAGTTTCTGCCCCCCCTTTAACCCGAAGCTGTGTCCCCTGGCGCTGATGACGGTCCATTCAGCGCAATTCCGACCATTCAGGGCTCTCCGTAACCATGGGCCGTTGTTGACACTCGCCGCCCGCCTCCTCCCCTCTCCCTAACTCTCTCTCTCTCTTTCGCTCGCTCGCTGGCCTTCTCCGTTCTCTTTCCCAGTTCCCCAGGTACCCTCGCAAAGGGATCACTTTCTCGACGGCTACACTGCCCTCTTCCTCGTTCCCTACTCCTGCTACTAGTAGTCCTTACTTACTAGTTGATGCCACGGCTTTGTTGCTAAGGCGTCGTTCGTTCCTTCCACACACGCACCCCTCAAGTACCTGGCTCTCTGCCTATCAACTTCCATTCCTTCATTCATTATTTTATAATTCTTTTTTTCCCCTTCCCTTTTTTTGTCTCCCACCCTTGCGACCCAAGTAAAATTACGCACTCCCTCTACTTAATTGTTTTTCAATCTTCTTGTCTGCTTTGGGTTACAATTACTTAAACAACGCCTCTGTGGCTTTCTCTTTTCGTCACTTTTCCCAATAAATTCCCTCCCCGCCCGTCCAGTCCAGCGCCATTGGGGCTTCCGATCAACCTCCCCTACTACTAGGCCATTCCACCACCACCACTACTACTGCTTAGTTCTATACTACTACTAAGTGGTCGTCTCTTGGTCCAAACTTTCTCTTTCACCCTTGCGCCGGTCCTTTCCTGGTTCAGTTACCTCGTTCGCGCTTTATACTCTTAGACTCAACAATCCGTCTGCAGAGTAAACTAAAAGCAGAAAAGGGGAAAAAAGAGCCAACCAGCCAGTTCCACGGCCGTTCATTCCTTCAGTCAACCTTGAAGACCCCAGGTCATTATCCCCCCGCGGACGCTCGCGTTGCAATTGCCTAAACGTTGCCGGTGCACCCACTCCTGTCCTACGAGTCTATGTTGGTAGTACCGTGTTGAGCCTCGCATCTATTTTCCGCCGGTGTACTCTTATCGCACCATCCCCCCCCCAGGCCCTTCCCGTGGAAAAGATCAGATACCGTTCGATTAGGTCTCAGTCCCTCACGGCCGTCTGCACCTTTCCTTTCTCCGTGACACGAATTTACGAATTGCGATAATTCAATCAGAGGATTAGTCCTTGCATCGGGATACGAATCCGCCTCACGTCTGTACACTTGCGCACTTCCCTATTGAGCAGGTGTCGTTCAGGGCCCCTGCACCCTCATTCAATATGCGACGTGGACTTCTCATTTTCCTCATCGCAAATCTCATTATCGTCACATTCCTCGTGCGCAGCGTCTTTACACTACTCTCCCTGCTAGTGGAAGATGCTTCCGCCGACGCTATCCACCGCGCCGAGCTCCCCTCGCCAAACTCCAGTTTGATCGAGCAACGTCCTCAGATCATTCCCAAGATCATCCACCAGACATACAAGAACGAAACGATCCCGGAAGTGTGGAGGGAGGCTCAACAGAGCTGCATTGATTTGCACCCGGACTACGAATACATTGTATGTTCAGCCTGGTCGATGTACGACTGTCGTTCACATGAATACTCTTACTAACGCGCATTGAATTAGCTCTGGACCAACGAAAAGTCGCGCGAATTCATCGCCAACGAGTACCCCTGGTTCCTCGAGACGTTCGATGGTTACAAGTATCCCATCCAGCGTGCTGATTCGATCCGCTACTTTATCCTCGCACACTACGGTGGCACCTACATTGACCTTGACGATGTGCGTATAGCCTATATTATATTAGTTGTGACCTTTTCTGACTGTATCTCAGGGATGCAACCGCCGGTTAGATCCTCTCCTCGCCTACCCTGCCTGGGTCCGTCGCACTGTTCCTACCGGTATCTCCAACGACGCCATGGGATCTGTTCCTCAGCACCCCTTCTTCCTGCGTACGATTGAGCTACTGCAGTCGTACGACCGCCATTGGCTCCTCCCGTACATCACGGTTATGTACTCGACTGGTCCCCTGTTTTTGTCGGTGATCTGGAAGGAGTACATGCAGACCAACCCCAGCGAGTCTGGCCGTGTCCGCATCTTGATGCGCGATGAGTACAACCGGTACTCGTGGAGCTTCTTCACGCACCACGTGGGCAACAGCTGGCACGGCAAGGATGCCCGCTTGATCTTCTGGATGGGCCAGCACTGGGTGTTCCTCACCGTGTGCGGTTTCTTCCTCGCTGCCGTTGTTGGCTTCGCCCTCTGGTGGCTGTATGCGCGCATCATGCTGTTGGGATCGAAGTACCGTTACCGCTACTCGAAGATTCCTTCCTTTGTTTCGAGTTCCCGTCTGTCTTCGCCGACAAGGATGGGGCGGCGCATGATGCCTACCCTTCTTCGTCGCGTCAGCTTCAAGGAGGACGAAGAGGCTGCCGGCGTTACCGAAACGTCGTACGAACTCTACAGCAGACGCGATTAAGCGTCGCCCTTTGTATCATGTTTTGTGTGCCTTTCAGCCTTCCAGCGCCCTGACACTTTCCACCTGGCCGTTGTTCATCGTGCCCGTGGAGTAGCCGCTCAGGTGTGTTTTATATCATCCGCTCAGGGAGTTGTATTTGATTTCTGGGGTGCATGTACGGAGTTTCGGGTATGGATTAACAGCAGTGCTTCTCTTGAAGCACATGACGGCTTGTACATGTTTTAACAATATTCTTTGATCTGTGCGAGGCAACCTGCTAGGCAGCGCGCTCGCCCTGTATCTGTCTTTTCTTGGATGTCCGGATTTACCTTTCTTTTCTTTTCTTTGACCTTCTCTTCTTGAACCCACAATTGTTCCTTTCGCACCTGTCTGTTTACACCTTACATCTTTTACTGTTACTACATAGACTTGCTCTCGATTTTGGGTAGACGGAACCGAATTATCAGCTCAGACGCCTGGGGCTAGCTGGACGGCAAAATAAAACTAATATGTGATTATCTCGACACTTCTGTGTTAACTCCTTGATTATGTAATATTATGTTTCATGTTTCGTGTGGCCAACTCCAACCATCAACACGTCTAACGACAAATGCAGGCCCTGAAGAACGAGGCTTCAAAAGGCAGTCTGCAGATCATATTTCGACACGACCAATCAAGGTGTCCGGTAGTCGGATAAGCACAACTGGTCATGGAGAAGATTTACGACGGGCGTTTCACATTTGCCGGAGGTTCGCCAGGATCCAATCGCCGTCAATATCAGCACAAGGAGGCATGATACATGATACATTTGGGCAGAGGCATCTCTGGCAATCTCCGGACATGCCAACGCAGTGTCGTCAGATGCAACAAAAGTCCAACCAACAGGTGGCAACGGGCCAGGCTATGTGGGATGCCTCTGGCTGATGAAGGACCCTCCAGACCCTGATCCACCCTCAGGAATGCGGAGTCGATCAGGCATGCTGGGTCAACAATGACATGCTCTGAAAGACATATAAAGGGGCTGTCCCTGTCGTTGATTCTTGTTCTTAGGTACTTGTGCAGGCTCACGGTGTCTTTTGTTCTTAACAGTCTTGTCCTTTGTCCTACTTCACTAGGGGTCTCAGCAACATGAAGTCAACATCAATCTTGAGCAGCATGTGCATCATGCCCCTGCTGGCATATGCATCTCCGGCCGGCCGGATCCTCGCCCGAGATACTTCCTCCCTCACCGTGGCGCAGCTCGAGGCTATTGCTCCTACGTCCAATACATGCGATAATCCACCTGCAGCCGGGGAATGCGCTACTGCGGAGCAAGCAGTCCCGCATATCACCAAGTCTTTTGACACGTATGGCGTGACGTCTCGCGCCGAGCAAGCAGCCGTGATTGCACTCATGGCATTTGAAAGCGGCGATTTCAAGTACAACAAGAATCACTTCCCCGGTGTTCCGGGACAGGGCAGTACGTATCCCGACCTTTATCCTTTGCCTGGCATGCCAGATAGAGAGGTAGATGTTAACGATGGTATACAGCACGAAACATGCAATCTCCCTCCTACAACGCCGAATACGCGGCTTCTATCCCCGCGCTCGCGGACCAACTCCCCAGCGTATCCGGAGACGTAACGGGAGTCCTGAACCTCTTGCTCTCAAACGAAGACTACGACTTTGGCTCCGGTGCATGGTTCCTGACCACGCAGTGCTCAGCTAGTGTGCGGTCCCAGCTGCAGTCAGGGTCCGAGGCAGGCTGGGCAGCATACATCACCAACTGCGTCGGGACCAATGCCAACGACGATAGGAAGGCATACTGGACGCGGGCAACACAAGCCATGGGTGTATCTACCTGACCTTCCACCTACTACTCATACAACATCACACATAGTGTATAAATATACTATATGCATACCATTCAAACCGACTGTAGTCAAACCAAACCAACATAATCATCACAACATACCATCCATCTACACATAAAATATTTAAAGAACCCCCTTCGTACTAACCACATCCCCGGCCCCAACCTCCCCCTCCACGCGTCTCGTACAAGCCGTCCGAATCGCCACCGCCAACGCCTTAAACGCACTCTCCGCCCGATGATGATCATTATCACCATACGTGCACCCCACATGCAGCGTCACTCCCGCGGCCTGCGCAAAACTCTGCAATCCATGCGTAATCATCTCCGTACTCAAATCCCCAATCTTCTCCCTCCGGAACCCAATGTTAATCACCGCCCACGGCCGACTCGACAGATCAATCACCGCCCACGACAACGCCTCGTCCAGCGGCGCATCGCCCCGTCCGAATCGCGCAAGCGATTGTCTTGCCCCGAGTGCTTCGGTGAATGCGCTGCCTAGAGCGAGGAATGTATCTTCCGTTGTGTGGTGGTCGTCGACTATACCATTACCAAGAACATATTAGCATTGCCTACTACCTCCCTTATAGCACACATCCCCCCAGATAGAGAAAATACACAGAGAATAGTGGGTGAGAACATACTAAAAAGATCCCCCTTAGCTCTCACAGCCAAACTCCACCCCCCATGCTTCGCCAACGCATGCAACATATGATCCAGGAATCCAATGCCCGTGTTAATGGTGATTTGCTGCGTTGGGGTGAATTGTGTGGCGTGCGGTGAGGCTTTGTTTGGGATAATCCCCTTCTTGCTTGCCTCGGCTTCGGTTGGGTCTGTGGGCGCCGGGAAGTGACTGCATGGTTCGTAGGGGGGGAGGATGCCTCCGTCCAGCGAGAGGGAGATTTGGATCTTGGTTTCGTTGGTTATCCGGGTGATGGATGCGGTGCGGGGGGGGAGGGGGGGCATTTTGATGTTGATGTTGTGTCTTTGTTTTGTGGTATCTGGTGGAGGGATGTTGTTGTGTGGTGAGTGTGATGCTGGATTGAAATGGGGTTAATTGAGTAAAGTAGGTAGTAGAATTGTAGAGACTAAAGTGGAGGAGGATAGTTGGTAATCTCTTCCGCTGATTGATCAAGATTTCTTTTCTGCGAAACTGCGGTTTCGGACCCGCGGAGGCAGTTATCGGTATTTGGTTTACTAATTTACAGTACGGTGTGGTACTCGGCATTTCGTTGACCCGAGTCGTATGGGTTGAATGGGTTGTGCGTCATTGGTATGCAGAACTGCCATGCGCCTGTCTGTCTGTCTGTCTTTTGTCCGCTGTGCATGCATTAACTACTCTCTTCTTTTATTCTATTCTATATCTACGAGGTAGCTTTGCTTAGCTACTGCATATATATCATGCCTCCCCCCTCGGATCAACGTCATAATGTCGACCCCCCGGAGGAGATCACCTCCGAGGCCGTCCGCGGCTTCTTGACTGGTGCTTTTCGGGTATGTCTGTTCTTTTACTTCTATAGGGTTGCTCCCACTTTATCTTGAGTGGGAGCCGTTCATCGTATCTGGGGGCATGGTATTGACAGAATAGTTCGGCTCCGTGTCTATCCTGGCGCATATGATCATGATCCTCCCTCATCCTTTCAAGTTCTCGTCGCCCTCGTCTGCCCCCGTCCCATCGCAGTCCCCGTCGCAACCTCCGCCCAAGCAATCGCCCTTTTCGAAAGAGTTCATTCGCTCGCGACTCTTCTATCGCCCGTTAGAAGGCTTCTCCGAGTGGCTGTCCCCCGCTTCGAAGATCTACCGCGGCTTGACGCCCCAATTCAAAGTGTTTCTCCATATCGGGGCCATGACGCTGGGTGGATGTATCTGGGCGGAGCGCCGAGTCGATGAATACATTAAGTATATTCGCAAGGTCAAACGGCTCGAAAAACTACAAGCGGAGAGAGCCGCGCGGGGACTGGAGTAAGCAAAGCGGTAGTCTAGGCATAGATGGGATGCCGACAAGGTTGAATTCCGGAGTGAGGATTTATAGTTCCAACATCAAACAACGGACCCAGTTGTCTCAAGTCATTCTTAATGTCAGTGGTTTGTGGGAGGCAAAAATACCGGGAAGCTGTCGGTCGGGGCTTTGTCCCGTTGCTAAAAGTTTGTCCTGTCCGGAGAGGCTGTGTCCATTTCTTTCTCCCTCAGGCTTCTTCCCGGCTAGCTCGGGCGTCTGAGGTTCTCCACTGATCTCAACCCCCGTGTTTGAAGGGTTCAGGCGAAACACGACGATGGCCCAGTCTGGAACGTACTGGATACCCTTCGGGTCAGGTTCGGGCTGTGGACAAACCCGTTAGAGGGGGGTGGAGGGGGGAGGGTTTGGCTAAGAGTAGTAGTAGCTAGCTAGTTAGTTAGTAGTAGTCTAGCAAAGTCCAGAAGCGATGCTGCAGCAACTCCCGAACGGCCGCGGTGGGGATACGGGAGGATCTCCAGATTGGTGAATCGGCCGCTTGTGTACACCAGTAGATCTCTAATTAAAATGACGACCGATTTCAGGGGCAGTTGATCGAGTTGACAGGGTGGTATCTGTTTCTGAAGAACTGGAACATTGCGCCCTTTATTTCTTTTACCATTCTGTCTTCTTTCCCCCCTCATATTGTTCTAGGGTAGGGTCGGTCCTAGAGTAGGGAGGAACAAGGGGGTCTAGATCATGTGGTGGGAAGAGGGGGAATAGATGCAAACAGACAGACTGGTTGGGAGCAATGTGCACACCACACCGTAAAATGAAGAAAGAACAAGAAAAAGAAAATATGAACCCAAATGCAGGCGACCTCCCAATCGGTTGATCACCCCGAAGTTCATTTTACCCAGCTGTCAGTCAGTCATGGTGGCAGCGCTCCAGACCGTGGCCAACTGGAGCTACTCCGTAGTTACTAAGTCATCTCGCAGCATTCTAGCTAGCTGGTTAGCCAGGGCGAGAGAAGGATACAAGTGGAGCTCGAGCTCTGAAGCAGGAGAGAGAAAGCGAATAGGTGTGAGCGATGAGCGAGAGAGAGAAAGGCGGCCAGTCCTGCATGGGTTTACGCGGCTGGAGATCGGCTTCTCAAGGGCTCCATCTTGGGGGGGGGGGGGCACAAAATGGTGGGACAGGGAAATGAGTATCAAAGACAGTTTAGTTGAGTGGATTAGTGAGTTATTAAGTAGTTTGGTGATGGAGTCGAAGAGAGGAGAGAGGGCTGATTAGTGTCGTTCTGAAGTAATCAGTATTTGCCATTCGCTCTCTCTCTGTATGGAGTAGTGAGATGCAAGACAAGCAATCCCAGAGAGGCGGACGGGTGAGGCGGCGGTTTTAGTTGGCGGCTGCTTCTATAATAAACCAGCCAGTGGGATGAAGTGGAAGGAGAAGTAAAGTTATTACATACGCTCTCTTCATCCTGCGCATCCTTGTGGTGCATCCTGGTAGTTCATTCATCCTCGTTAGATATCTTAGGAAGTAGCCAGGTAGATACTCCGTACTTAGTGATTGTGTAGGTAAAGAAAGAAAGAGAGAGAGAGAGAAAAAGAGAAATCACCTCCAAGAAAAAAGCATCAACTGCATTCGGCGAGCTTGGGATGATCGGCTTTCCGGAGAGAGTAACTGGAGGGTGAGAAGTAACTAAACTCTCTTTCCTCCCTCGCCTCGTCATGTCAATCCATCCACATTGAGCTCATCATTTTTATTTTATTTTATTTTATTTTATTTTCATGGTGTTGTGTTTCGTTGTGCTGTTGCATTGCCACCTTTCCTTCATCTGTCTGCTCCCTTCTGTCATTCTTCTCTTTTGTCTCCATATTGCCTCTCCATCTATCTCCATCTACCCCCCTGATCCGTCATTTCCCTCGTCCCTTTAGTCTCTATTCCCCACTCTTTTCTCTTTTCTCTCTTCCTCCTCCTCCCATCTTTCCTCCCATCTTCCTTCCTTCCCTCCCTCCCTCTCTCTCTCTTTTTAGGGAATTGTAAATTGGACCATCCTCTCCTCCTAAATAGTCAACTAGTTTGTACTCATTGAGTCTCTACAATTCTTCTTTTTTGTCATCAGTGACACAGTCATCGGAATTCCCGATTTTTTATTATTATTTTCAGCGAGATCCGAAGAAGCTCCGGGCGCTGACATCATAAACCCAAAAAGACGCGGTGCAAGTTAGTCTACTTAGTTCACTATTAAGTTCCTGAGCTCATTTTTCTCCGGATTGCCTGCCGTTCAGGAACTGGTTCGATCCAATCTTTTCACCTCACTGGATCCGCTTAAACAATCGCTTTCTTTGGGTCGCTGAGACGTTGACGTTGTAAACACGACAGGGAAGAATAGAAGGGACAGAAAGAAAGAAAGGCAAAGATAAGCAGCCAATATCCATCTTGTGCGCCTCGTCCGCATTCGTCTACTTTTACTCTGTCTCTCCCTCTCGTGTCTTCCCCTTTCCGGTGTTCTGGTGGTGAGGTTGTTGCGTTGTCTCGCCCATTGACACGGCCTAGACTGTAACCTTTTCTTACGTCCCTGGTTGCCCCGGAGTGTGCTTGGACGTTCTTTCTTCCTTCCCCCCCCCCCCCCCCCATTTCTCCTCTTCCGTGCATCTCAATCGCCATCGCATTGGTGTTGCTGCAATTTCGTACTTTTTTATTGACGTCCTCCGCTCACTCGCTCGCTACTATCGGTCTCAAATCTCAACCCACCCCATTCTTTTCCTTCCTCTCTCCTCCCTCCTCCGTATTCTTTAAGCTCTTCTTCTTGTCCATTGTCTTCTTGTCCATTGTATATCTGGTTATACTCTCTCTCTCTCTCTCTCTCTCTCTCCTCCTTCTTCTTCTTCTTCTTTTCTACTTTAGTTACGAATTATCCTAAGATTGTCTCTTGTCGCCTTTTATCTCATCGATTGTCTCATCTGGTATCGAGACTTTTCCTTGGTCTTCTGCTTCCCTTTCCACCCTCTCTCTCTTTTTCTCTCTCTTTCCAAGCGCCCAATCTCAAATCGCGCCATTTTCTCTCTTCTCCTCCCCCCGCCGTCTCTGTTGACTTCTCTCCCCTTCTTTTCCACCTTCCATTGCCACGTCAAATCGTGCCGCTTTCCTGCGCATCCATCTTGATTCTTCACCTCCTATCGATGGCAGCTGGCCCGACTGCTGTATGTTCCACCTGCCTTCCCTCCCCCTCTTCCCTTCCACAGCTCCTCATTTGTGCTCCTTCGCCCTGCTCCACCCCTCTAGTTCACTAGTCACCACCGGGGTCTCAATCTCCTAGGCTAGGCCTGCAGCCATGTCTATCCATCCTTATCGTCCCATCATGCTCCTCCTCGTCCCCCAATGTTCGGTGGCCTTGCTTTTTTCTTACGGGTTTTCTTCCTTTTAGTGACCTACCCCCCCGCGACCTCGGCCTCCTCGATGTGGCACTTCGTCCTCGACTTCCAATTTGCTCCTGCTCCTCTCGCCATCTAGCGTTCTCGACCCTTCCCTGTCCTGTCTTCTCCGCCCTCCTGCTTCCCCCCCCCCCCCCCCCCGTCATGGCCGAGAGTCTGGGGAAGAAAGAGCGGAGAAAGAGCCTGAGCGTCTTCAACCCATCAATGACTACCTCTTCCCTTCCCGCCCCCGCCGCTCATGAACGGTCGCCCTCCGATGATGCCCAGGTTCTGAAGAAGAAATCGCGCCGCAACTCGGGTTTCTTTGGGGTCCGGCACCCCAGTCCCCCGAGAGCCACGCCCACCCGTGGCTTACGTCGTCCCGGCACCGCCGATTCGGAGTCGGCCACCTACGTGACCGCGCTGCCTACCGTGGCGCTCGAGGGCCCTCGCAGCCGCCGGAAATCCCTACAGAAACGACGAACCTCCGTGTTTGGTTCCCTTCGGTCGCTACATTCCCAAGAAGATGACGACCGGTCGCTGGGCCGCTCCAAAGGCTCGTCCCTGGACGAGGACCCTCCCGAGCTGCGACAAGGTATTGGCTCCATCATCCTGCACCATGGAGAGATCTCCATCACCGGAGGCATGTGGCGCAAGAAGAGCCATTACCTGGTACTGACCGACACGCATCTTGTCCGGTTCAAGAACCAGAGCAAAGCCGCCGATATGTTTCCCTCGATCCCGGCTTCCTTCACCTCCCGCTCAGTGGCGGCCAACCGCCAGTCCGTCGCCTCCATCAGTTCCCTGCAGGACCCCCAGCTGGCCGCGGCGAGCGAGTCCATTTCCGGCATTGCCTTGAACAGCATCATTGCGGTCTACATGTTGGACGATGGCCGACCGTCGTCAACGGTGGAGGTGGCCTATGTGGATGAACGGGCTCAAAAAGCCACCTTCATCCAGATGCAGACGCCCGACTTCCAGGAACTGAATCTGTGGATGGTGGGCATACGCTCCGCGGCGGAATTGATCCGCGGGGCCGACCCGCTGGTCTTCGATCGAAAGACGGCGGATTGCGTGGTCCGCATGCTCGAGTATGAGCGGGATTATGATCCAGAGACCTTTCGAATGTTTCGGGTCATCCAGATGGCGTCCAGCAAGTCTCCTGCACGGGCATCATCTGAAGATCTCACCAAGCTGTCACCGACGGGCTGTTATCTCGCCCTTGGGTCGCACAAGCTCCACCTGATCCCGTTGCACAAGATCTCCAGCCGCAGCTCCGTGGTATCCTTGAGTGACCTGGATGCGGCAACCTCTTTCGGACTGATGAACCTGACCTGTCTCTCCATGGAATGGGGCGACGATAGCCTGCATCTCACGTTCCGTGTGCCAACGCGGAAACCGTTCTCGGTCTTCCTCGCATCCGTGCATTCCGTGGAGATTGCCTTTTGGATTCGACAACAGACCGAGTTCCTACGTCCCTTGTGGATCAAACAACCGTATGACTTCATCGTCCCTCGGGACCTGGACAACGAGAGCAACTTCCCTCCGGTGAGCTTGGACGAGGATTACGGTTGCTTCGACCGGACATTGGTCGCCTACTCGGCTAGCTACGACATCGACACTTCCAACATCCGATATACCATTGATGTGCAATGCGATGACGCCCCGTGTTTCAGGCTCCTGCCGCCCGCCTCCGCTCGGCAGAAGAAGTATACCGCTCTAGAGCTGATCGCCGTCCTGCGAGCACTGCGATACAACGAGTCCTTCCGGTCTATATCGTTTAGTGGTGTCAGCCTGGATGTTCTGCAAGGCCTACGCGATATCTATGGCCCAGATAAAGACGCCCTGCTGAGTCGTGCCGGGGCGCCGATCCATATCCCCGGTCAGGAGAACCTATCGGTGTTGTCCCAGGAAGTGCGTGCGTTGACTCTGAAGAGCAAGTGGCTCCGTCGTCTGGACTTCTCCTATACCCTGAGCCGCATTCCGAAGTCGGATAGTGAAAGTCACGATCCAGGATGTGGAATCCCTGAAGCCATTTTCCCCATTTGCCGACGAGAGCTGACGAGTGTTGACTGGGTGGTGTTGAACGGTATCAAGCTGGGCGATTCGGATCTCGACTACCTTGTGGATGCCTCGTCTCAACGGTCCAGTCATATGCGAGCATTGGAAGTGGGCAACTGTGGCTTGTCAGTTCACGATCTTGACCTTCTCCTGTCCACGGTCGTCGCCCAGTCCTCGACTCTGGAGGCGATGAACATCTCGGGTGTTCAAGGTCGCCTCAGCCCCGACATACTCCAGCAGTACCTCGGCTATTTTAGTCAGATCAAGACGCTCGACTTGTCTCGTATCTCTCGCACATCGGGCACAGAGCCTCTCATCACTTCCGAGACGTTGTTCAACTGGCGCCTGGAGGAACTCTCGCTGAGCCGGACCCTCGTGAACCGCGAGACCGTCGATGCCATAGCCACATACCTGGCCAGTGATCGATCTCGGGGTCTGCGCGTGCTTCGCCTGGACCAGTGTGGACTCAGCGGTCAAGACGTCGCCATCTTCCTGCATTCCATGACATCCAATGGGTTTCCTCGCGATTTGCATCTTCACGTCAATGAGAACCGACTTGACCAAGGCTGCTCGTACCTCTTCAAAGCCATTGCACAAAACAAGACGCCAACTCATATGTCAATGAGGATGATTGACTTCAAGAAGGAGGAACAATTCCAGCAGCTGGTGGAGGCCTTGCGAAAGAACCGGACCCTAAAATGTCTAGACATCTCCAAGGCTTCTCTTCCGTATGATGCTGGCCCTGAGACGTGCAAGGCGCTCCAGCTAATGTTCGAGGAGAACGAGACGCTTGAAGATTTGGATATCAGTGGCGAAAGCGCTCATTTGGATGTCGCTCGGTTTGGAATTGGTCTGAATCTGGCCCTGACAGGTCTGAAAAAGAACAAGTCCTTGC